CCACCTACCATGCCAGCTGGGAGTTTATCTGAGGTAGCAGTTGCTCAAACACACCAGGGGACTGAGCCCTGACATAAGAGCTCCAGATTGGTCACCAACCTGGAATCTCAGCATCAGTATTACATAGCATTTCTCTCATTTCTCCACAAGTTTTTTCTCCTGCAGAGCTGGAAGAATTTGAGTTGGTATACAACATTCCTTGGTGTTACAACATCCCAACAAGCAGTGATACTTGCTGCTGACTACAGAAGCAGTAGATACTGCCGACTAGGATTGTTTCAAACTGACAGCAGTCTCGTTGCCAAAACCTTGACTACTTTGGATATTCCTGCACTACAGCAGATCAGGGAGGGAAGGCAAAGTAATTCTTGGGCTATCTCTAAGCCTAAGAGGTATTCCGTCCTAAGATGCACGGCATTTTCTACTTCAGTAGCACAAGAAAAAGCAGAAAAAAAAAACCCCCAAAACAAAAAACAACACTAACCACAGCCTTTCAAGTAAGCCCACTCCTTGAAGACACTCAATATTATCAGATCAGATGAAACTGTTATCACCTCCTAAGTCATCTAAATCCAGGATGATGCAATTTTCTACATTTGAATAGCCATATTTGCAGGAACTGTCTAGTTTGCTAATTTGGAGGAAAAATCTGTAGCAAGACAAATTTAATACAAAAGCCTAGGTGAAATCATTTTAGCACCAGATAATTCTGGATTTAAAAGGGATTCCAATTTCATTCCATTCATTGGAATGAATTCCAGAATGACAAAAAAATTATATGGGAAATTCAAGGCAAATATCTTCAGGTTCTCCCAAAATTTAGTTCACTGTAATAACAAGGTAGATCATGCCTTGATAAAATCTGGAAAGAAAAGATAGTGACATGTTAGCCTTGCTCCATAGTAGTAACTGATCATCAGTGATCTGCAAGCTATCTAAATTGGTTCCAGTCTTGCTCTGTCACCAACTGACTGTTAGAAAAGGCACATTAATCTCCTCTACAGATATGACCAGTGAGAAGAGCTCTCATGAATAACTCCTCAAACAGATAATTTCATTTGGGATGAAGCCACCTTGAAAATCTCAAGGTAACTGATACTACAGTGCAGGATCTGTTGCACTCACTCAAACTCAGCTGCATTAGAGACCATATAACAAAAAATTTTTATGAGTAACACACAAGATTCCAAACAGTATTAAACCCCAAGTTACCTTTGTGATGTAGAATTTTTTCAGTCCATCCAAAAATGATGTAAAAATGGAAGCAACTTGTGGTTTAAGAGCATGACCTTCAGCAAAAAGTAGAAAAACGTATATTAAGGCAAACAGTACTCTTAAAATTCGTACTTCAATGGACAAATAAAAAATAGCTTGGTAGTCAAGGTCACAAGAATCACATGGAAACCTTTGATTATTATAATTAAAGAGAATTCTCTCATTTAGAAGATGATTTAGGAAAAGGATTTCATGATTTTTTTTTAAAAGCATATATACAACTGTGCACAAATATTTCATTTGACACTTTAATTAAGGCTACCCTAGTTTATATCTTCACAAGTACATGAAAAATTTTAAAAGAGCACTTCATTAGTTTTTATACTACAAAACTAGAGCAAAACCAGTGACCTTTTTTTAAATTATGACCAACCCACTAAAACCAATAGCCAAAAATGGTGCAAGTTCTACATAAAGATAAAGTTACATAACATAAACATAAGTTTCTACATAAAGCCAGTAATTGCTTCCTTAATCACATACGGGGAACTAAAGTTACCAGAATATATAAATGGTGTCTTGAAGTCTGTTAAATTAACATCTCTGCCTCAGGACTGGGTTTAATTGAGATGAAAGTCTTATACTGTTTGTTCCATTGTTTTCAGTCGCAGGCAACTTCTGAACTGCCATTACTGCTTCACTTTAACAGTCTTGCATCTGGCCTACATGCTGTGAGCCCAATTCATTAAAAAAATTATGCACCATTTACATGATACCTCTTTCTAAAATACTTCAGAGTATTTCCCCCTGAATAAAGCATGAACTTCAGTAATTGATTAGTCTCCTTCCCTCTTCAGTGAGGATCTACTCTCTCTGCAGTTACAAACCCCAAGGAGTACACCTCCAAGCACTCTTAAGTAAGCACAGAAAAAAGTACCAGATAACAAAAGGACATGAATTTATTAAACCACAATCTGTAAAAGCTATTGTATTTAGGCCTACTTAATGAGTACAAGAAAAAAAAAAATCTGTATTGAGACACCTGAAACTATGTTTTGCAGGTGACCATATAAGCTGCAACCTCAGATTACAGCTAAGTAGTAGAAAAATGATTTATTCAGTGTTGGGTTTAAAGCTTATAATTGGTCAAACTCCTTCCCAACTAAAAAAAAAAAAGAAAAATGCACCTGCCTTCTGTTGTACATGTCTGAAAGAAATAGCATAACTCAAAAGTGGCCAAAGCAAGTAGCACGGGCTCTCTAGTTTTAGAGATCCTGATTTCCTTGGTTTGAAAAAAGTTCAATTTTCTCAATACCATCATATTAATGCCATTTGAAATCAAGATTCATCACTGACACTTCTGTCAAAGAAGTCTGAGAAATTCTGACTTGGTCAGGTGATATTAGAGTTTTTCAAGGTCAGTTGTACTTCATGTTTTCATGTTCTGGGTACAATCAAAATAGCATGGTCTCATCAAAAACTTAAAGTTCTGTAAACTAGTAGCTTTTGTGTAGTGGAACTTTAACTTCTCCTCAAGAGTATCTTGAGCCAGAACAGATCTTTTTAAAATGATAGCTTTCCTTAAGTGCTCAAAAATGCTTGCTCTGCATGTCTGACATTGTTCTATTTAGGTATTTGAACTAGTTGAAATTTCACAAAAATCTTTGCATTTGGTAATCTTCTAGTAGCTTCATTGACTTTCTATAAAGCCTATAGCTCTATGCAAACAAAGGACTAAGCTATGGTATTTACCACATCTGAGCTTCTTTTAAAAGGAGACAGCTCACTTTGGACAAGTATGTCATTGCCTCTCTCCCATCCAAACAATGATTGCCACATCAGAATATTCTCAAGGAAATACTTTCAAGGAATCTGTATACCACTCATGACATTTACAAAGTTTAAAGCATGGCTCTTTACTGACCATTATAGTTGATACTGGTTTTCCAAAGACAGGCTTCTGTTTCTGAAAGTACACATTATTGCAGTACCTGGAATTTGAACTTTGGGTTCATTGCCTTCTTCGTCTAGCTCTGAGCAGAAGTACCATGTAAAACTGACTTAAGCTACAAAAAAATCAAAACCCTTGGAAACAGGTATTTGCCCCAAAAGATCTACATGCTTACCAAACTGAAACTGTGCATTGTCGACAAGGCGAATTGATGCAGGAGCACACCTCTTGGGGGCAAAGTTAGAGGAAAGAGAGGGAGGAAGAATAAAAAGATTATGTACATATTTTTGCTGGAAGTCATGACAATCAAGTTTTCATTTAAAAGTAGAATACAAGAAGGCACTCTTTGATACCAGGGACCTATGGCCATCATCATCATTGAAAAGGGGTGACTTGTCTTCACTTGAGTAGCGACATCTATTAAGTATGTCTAGATATAATACATTGAGAATTTTCAGTTTAACCTCAAGCCAACATAGGAATAGTCTGAAGATCTTTGACCTTGAAGTATTGAGGTTTTTTCTAAGTTGCCATAATACACTAAAGATACCATACTTAATTAGAATATCAAGCTAAGGTTGCTATGTAATCAAAGATAGACATAAATTATAAATCCATTGAGAAGTCTAATTGTTGTGGGTTACCTCTGGCCGGCAGCTAAGCACTACACTGCTGCTCACTCACTCCCCCACAGTGCGATGAGGGAGAAAAATCAGAGGGCAAAAGTGGAAAAACTCACAGGTTGAGATGAAGACAGTTTAATAAGCAAAACAGTAAAAAACACAAAAAAGTGATGCAAAAGCAATCAATTGCCACCAGTCAACCAATATCCAGCCTGCCCCCAAGCAATGGCAACCCCTGGAAAACTCCCCCCTCCTGTTTTATTTCTGACCATGATGTTATATGGTATGGAATATCCTTTTGGTCAGTTTGGGTCAGCTGCCCCAGCTGCATTCCCTCCCAGCCTCTTGTCCACTCCCAATCTACTTGCTGGTGGGAGGAGAGTGAGAAACAGGGAAAGCCTTGACACTGTATGCACTGTTCAGCAATAACTAAAACATTGGTGTGTTAACATTGTTTTGGTCACAAGTACAAAACAGCTGCTATGAAGAAAATTAACTCCATCCCAGCCAGACCCAGTACATTAATGCTCTGCCATCAGACTGCAATTAAAATCCATATCTGGGTCCAATCTAGATACTGCACTGTACAGAAATCTGAACACCAGCAAGAACCTATGCCAACATGGTGCAATCTGTGATGGTCATGTCCAGACATACTGAAATGTATGGACAGAGGAATATAACAAAGCCTGAATTTTACGCTAGTCTTCATCTAATCACATGGTTACAGAAGTACTCCTCTAACTTGATCCTAGATGTTCACCCTCTGTCATATCATTAATATATATATTTGGTCAAGCAATAGGAAGAAAAAAACATAAAGAACTAAGATAACTCACCAGGCAGGTTGACAGAAGGTAGCTGGATGAGTGCTTTTAAATAAGACCAAGCCACCCACAACCTGTCGGTTGGTTATTCTTACATTAAAGCAGACCAATACAGACAAACAGCTTTTCAGATGGTGATCATTGCAATTATTACCAAGATTGATGCAAGGGGCAACAGAAGAGTAGTTCAGGCTCAAGTAAGCAGTGAAACAGCAGAAGCAGCAACAGAAGGTTAGAAATGGAGCAACACTAAGTGGCTAATAGTGCCTTTTCCCCCCTCTTCTAACTAAGCCCATAGCTAGGGAAAAGACACTAGTTCCTTAATTGACTTAAAATGTTGATCAGCCATATGATTAAGCATTCCCATACAGTCTGCTTAGGTACCTTTAACAGGAAGAACAAGCACTAGCAGCAGAAGCACGACAGAAGAACTAGCAAGTGCTGCTGACTAGCATGTATCTGTCATTCATATACCAGTTTGAACATCTGGCTTGGAACATTAAGTCATTAATTTAGATCAATCACTGGAAAAAATGTAAAGCTGTGTTTAGTTTGGCATTAATTAAAACTTTTCTGACATTATTTCCCCTATTCGGGGTATATTCCACCATTCATAGAAGTTAGTTGATACATTTTGCAGAGCAAAGAAAAGCTAGTCTAAGATTGCAAAGAAAGAGGCTAGCCAGTGTAAGATTTGCCTGGAAGCATAGCCATGAGGAAAAGTGTTACACAATTTGGATACCCATGTCTGAGTTTTGCTACCTGAAACCACCTGGTCGCACATTCAGAAGGCTCTATTTAAATATTACAGTGTCAGCACAATGCCACCTCAAAATATCCAGCTCACCTGAACATGTCATTGTGCTTCTGGAAGTGTTTTCTAAACACAGGCCATATCCTTCCATGGCATAACATTTGTTCCTTTGTCACTTTGAAGCCATAAATTCAACTGCCTTTTACCTTTATGCTGCAACTTAATTCCTTTAAATACTGGTCCTTTCTACATAGTCCTAAATTAATCTGACAATAAAGCTCTCCACTGAAGGAGATGCAAAGCCCAATTTTCTGTGCTGAGATATGCAAGTAACTCCTACTGAAAAAAAGCCATCAGAGGCACATCCACAATTTGGCTCAGAATACTGAGCAAATTCAGAATGTGCTCAATCCTCAATTGCATAATTTCCAAAAGCCTCATGGACCATATCCACTTGTGAGGTTTCACATTATCTCAAATCCTTGGTTATCAATTGCCAGAAACACTAAAGCATCACTACATTCCGAGCACTAGAATATGTGTTCTTGAGTGAAGTCAACATCCAGTGTTTCTTTACCTGCTTTGCCACTTCCCTTAAGCAGGCCACCCCGCGTTCAAAGTTGGGGAAGACCACAGAGCCATACTTCTGGTATTCAGGGACTGGGCGAATCTTTATCGTAACTTCAGTAATCACTCCAAGAGTTCCTTCAGGAAAAAAGAAAAACTGAGTAAAGTGCCGGATGATGTACTCCTTGTAATTTACTCAACAACTGTCTACCAGGATGTTGTAAGTTAACGTGAATCAGAAATCCCCCCCCCCCAAAATCAGTATTGCAACAGACGATTTATTCTTGACTATTTATGTGGTAAATTCTTACAATATATCCTCTAAATCATGACTTTTGTTACTAGACTTGTAGGCTAACTCCACAGATCTGTTTTAAGCCCTGTTCAGAGTTGCTTAACTTCAGTCCTAATTAAGGTCTCAACGTTTTATCCCAATACAAGAAATTCATGCCTGTATAATGCCACCCATAGACACACTGGAAGCCACAGCATTAAGAGATGCTCAAATCATCAAGCCATTACAGAAGCTGAGCTAAGATGCAGTTACGTGAAATTACTATGTTTATACCTTCAGATCCCATAATGAAGTGATGGATATCAGGTCCTGTTGACATGCGAGGTACTTGACAGTTTTTTTCCAATATTCCTCTAGGAGTTACCATTTTTATATGAATCACCTGTTTAAACAATACGCAATGACTATAAATACTAGCATTAAACACAGGTTTTTTTGGTATGATATTTGTTTTCTACAAATGTATATTAAGCTTAATACAGTTCAGCTTTGTAGACTTTAGATATTCTGTAGGCAGCCCCAAGAACTTTTGGGATAACCCAAAGACTACTACCAACAATTATTTCTAACACAACATGGTTTGCCCACACAATAGATTGTTTCCAGTTCTATGCCAAATCAGATCAGCTGTTGGCTACATCCAGACAGGACTAGTTTTGTTTCTCAGTGTAGACAGTAGGACTTTAATCCAGAATATGCATAGTACTTCAGAGGAAAAGTGAGGGTTTAAATATTGCTTAAATTTTGCTTTAGAACTGCTGCTTGATAGAGCTAATATAATTCAGCCATCAGTTGCTACAGAAATATTTATTTTAGGAAGAAAGACAGAAGTAAGCTTAGTGAAATAGATTATCAATATTAAATCTGCCATAAGACTGATACATATGTAAGGCTAAAATGTTATTTTTGAAAAGTATTTTGCAGTGTTATTGCATGTGGATGAATAAAGCTGGAAGCAATACAGAGCCTAGATTTTTGTTTAAATCCTTCATTCAATTATTTTATATGAAGGAAGGGTGAGTTTTGAGGTTTTTTTAGTGAAGCCTTTAGATGAAGCAAAATTACTGAATTTCAACTAATGGCTTTAAAACTTTCAAGAGCAGGTAACTAAGTAATTTTCATCCTGCTCTAGGTTGTTACAGAATTTCATTATATGCATTTTATGAACTGTTGATTCTGCAATAACTGGATTTTAGGCAGCTTATATAACACTCCATTTCTAAATATAAAGTCTCCTCAGAAGGTAAACACTTCCCTGAAACTTTCTCACTGTGGCATTTTGAAACTCATTAACTGTCCTGAATCAATTTTCAAACCTATTTCCTCCTAATGAAAATTCCAGAAGCTGTTTTAGTCTGAGTTATGTTTCCATGATAGAAAAGCCTTCTGCTTCACACCTCCCAGTTCAAGCAGAACTATACCATTCAGTAACACTTCAAGCAGTAGGGGACAGCTGACACTTTGTAAGTGCTAGTAATTTTAGTTCAGCCAGGTCTACTGAATAAAAACTGTAGCTCCTGCCATGTTCAGCCATTGATAGTGAAGTGTCATGTCTGTGCACAGAACAAACACGTCTGAACTATCAGCTGATGAAAAAGCCTGAGCTGATGGGGATACATTACCTACAGCGTGCTGCAGGAAAGAAGGAAAACCCATGTGTGCAGAAGGGCTATTGTACAAACTATGAGAGAAAGCTGAAAGTCTGAAGCAAAGAGGCAGGCAAAGTATGAACAGTGATGATTTAACTTCAATATATTCAATATATGTGTTATAACAGAAAAGGTAGATTTTTTTAAATCAAAAAGTATGCTTTAAAAAACAAATTACCTGGGTTAATACAAAGATGAACCATTTAAATGTTTAAAACAGATTCAAGAGTAGAATACTGCCATTCCCAGTCCATTACTTCCTTCCTCAGGGTTCCTACAGACCACGTGGTGGCATTAGATCTCACCATTGTGCACCCACATGGTCAATTAGATCAGCCTACTGATCTGGAAAAGCTACTAGCCTGGGGGCAGGTAGGAAGGTGGAAAGAGCTAGCTTGCTGTCAGTTAGATGATCTAATTAGACAACTTCAGGAATGCACAACAGGTAGGAGAGAACATGGGCCTTTTGGAATCACCCTAGAAGTATGACAGGATTAGTACACTGGATTAATAGAGAGAACAAAATGGTGGAAGAAGGCAGAGTCAGGACAGGGTAACAATTCCTTAAGCTAGCCAGTGAATACCAAAATGAAATTGACTTTTAGATCAGCGATAAAGATTAGTAGTACTAAAAGCAAGCAAAGAAGCATTTCAGTCAAAATTTTATGCCAAAACTATATCACTTGAGAAATACAATTTACTAGCTCTTTTCCCTCTCATTGTAAGTCATTATAAAACTGAAACCTCCCAACAGAACAATTAATTAGGAAAAGTATTAGAACTATTTACCAGATCTTCAATGTTTCCATAGATGTTTTTTTTCATGCCTGATGCTCGTGTTGCTACCCATCCTCCTAGTGAGCTGAACTCCATGGAGTCTGGTTCATGGCCTGTACAGAAGCCACTTTCAGCAAGCTAAAGGAAGGAAAAAAAAAAACCACCAACATTCTACAGAGCCTGTATTCACCTAGTACTCCAAACCTCAATATTCTGGTTTTGTTTTTTTAAAGTAAGTATCCTGACCACACCCCTATTTATTCAGGCACAAGTTTTGTCTTTGCTATGTAAGTGAAATGCAACTTGATTCTGCTTCTACTGTGCATATGCTGTGCTACATATCAACCTATAATACTTCTCCCCCATATTTTAAAACCAAGATGTCTATTGTTCATAAGAGGGTGCAAATTCAAATACATATGGAAAAAAATTGTAACTGCCAACTTTGCACAAATGCTGCCAATAAATAAGGCAGTTAATCTCTTGTTCTTTCTATCCTAATGTGATATGCAGCAGGTCTGCAGAAAATGCGAGCAAATTGCCTGCACTTAATTCTCTCAAGGAGTGATGTGTTTTAATATACAGCCATCTGCTTGGGCTTCCTGTATGCAACACTGTCAAGTATTTGTGATGCAGATCACGCATTCCTGTACATTAAGTAGTCACTTGTTTCTCATTTTTCCATATTAGTTTGGCTTTGCCATCTGCACAGCACCTGAGGTTGATTGGATGCCCTCAGAATCACACCACCAAAGCTGTTGGACAGGAAGAATTAAAGACCCAACAGTCTCATATTAAGTGATAACTGTGTTAGCGCATTTGAGACTATCAATTTGCGCTGACCAACTGATAACAATCCAGTTGGACATAGGTATTTAAGTATACCACATAATGTGGATCATTAACTATGTTCTATTGTACAAAGTGGTTCTAACTTAAATGATTGAAAGTCACTTCTATGTAATATCTACAGTGATTCATCTAGTTCATGGTCCTCTTACACCAGAGGAGCTTGTGGCTTTATATGCTTACTGGTCATATATTAGGGAAGGGTTGGAGCCTGCATCCTCCTCATTCCACAGGGTGACAAGAAATTTGCTTCAGTCACAGCTTACCAATTTCTACAAGTTGTATAAACACAAGCACAGCAGAAGACAGTGCTTTTGAAAACTTCTAACTGAAGTACCTGTACAAAGTACACGTACAAAGCACTTGGTCTAAACTCCTTGAATCCTGTTGTATGAACTGCATGTTCTAAGAGCACCTACAGGACAGGGGAGAGATTATGCCATGTACTTTGCAGATGCAAGAGACAGCCTCATCCAGAGAATATGAGCATGTACTAGCTTTTCCTATAGAATCACAATCTGATTGATAACGCTTATTACAAAACACAGTATCAAATATTGTTCTATCTTCATTACCATTTTGTCACCTCCATGGAATAATAGCCGATAGAGGACTGTTCTGTTTGACAAAAACATGAGGCTTCTCTATAGAGCCCACTAACATCTCAGATTCTCATCACACAGAAGATAGTGTCTTAATCACACTACAGCCACTAGCGAAGATAGACAAATGTGTTAAGTGTACACTCATTTTGAACGCCCCGTTATAACACTTACAGACTAGATTTTGTCAAATATCAGGTTTTCCAAATTTGTTTAGAATTCAGCTCTTGATTTTAGTTAATGTTCTAAGGTTCACAATACCTGTAAACGAGGTAGCCTACTAAGTAACTTCAGCACTCAAAAAATGGGGAACACAGTAAAAGCAAATGTCTTCACGTAATTCCTAGGTAATGCTGGTAGTCTCTTAAAGCAACAGAAGTTGGATTAGCCTCCAATCCAAAGCTTACTAATACTAGCAAGCTGCAAACCAAACAAAAACCCTTTCAAACAGCTTCCTCTTTGCACAGTCCAAATGCAGATCTGCATTCTACTGGTACTTCAGTGGAAGTCCACATTGGAGTTAACTACAATATTAAATCACAGTTATGCTCAGATTGTACTACAGAAAACAAGCACAACTTGGAGTTCTAGCTTTAATCACACTCAAGTTGCTAGTATTACTGGAATTACAATATATACGTAATAAGTGTTTACTATATATATACATACACACACACACTTTAAGCAGATGATCTGATTTTGTATCCTTTGCAGATTGAAGGAAATGCACAGAAGCCCTTGTGCTCAGAGTCACACTGTGTATTAAAACCTTTGCACAAATGCTAGTGTATATTCAATACTGAACAAATTGACAACCAGTAGCCAAAAACCTAATAGAAAAAAGTTTTTCTGTCAAATAACTGCAACAGTAGTATTTCAGCTCATAAAAGCTATAAGCAGCAAGGGGATATTGTCCCTTACTCTAAGGGAAAGGAAAAGAAGTGGCATTTAAAGGATAGATAGTAGTGAAATATCAAACTCCTGCCCTAGAAAAGTTTAAATGCAGAGCATGTTCTCTTAGCTTGAAAAACAAATCTGGAAAGGTTAAAAATATTACACCAAATGGTAAAAGGGAAAATAAGAGGCAGGAAAGGCTATCTTTCTCATCATAAACAGGTCTGTTAGCCAAGTATGACAAGTTTTCTTCTAAAAGGTGACCTGGAAAAAAAAGTATTCAAAATCCTTCAAATCGCTGCGTATTTGTAAAGTATCTAGGCACTAAGAAAAGTTTAGACAACATTTAGCTATCAAATCAGTCAAATCCTAGATTTTTTTTTTTAAATGAGCAGAACTGCACACCCTAAAAAATAGTAACAAACATCCACAAGTAGCTTGATTAGAGGAGACCCTGAGAAGGGTGCTGTAGCTCATCTGATAAACTGCAATTAAAAACCACTAGAGGTCACTTAGAAAAGAGGGTGATCTAATCTTCCACTGGATTCTTGTTTTGGGCAACTCTCCATCCTTTCTGCTACTCTCCTGTAGCTGGCCTTAAGCAGCAGCAGCAGATCCGTTATATGCTCTAACCTTTCTGAGGAAACTACCTCTGGTCAAAATGACTAAAACATGTCACAAAATGACAATTTGAACTTTTCCTGGTAATTGGTACCAAATGTCATGCCTTGCAACCACAAGCATGTATCTAAGGTTTGAAACAGAAAGCATAGATAGCATTACAACCTATGAATTGTCTACTTACTACTGTAACCGCATTTTGTGGCTAGAGTTAAATAGAAAAAAATTTAAAACATTCAAATACAGCATGTAATGTTATATGGTTCATAGCCATGCATATAATGCTTACCACACCAGTCTACATGAAAACACAGAAGAATTAAGCTAGAATTCAGTCATATAGACAAGACACAGGGAACAGCTAAAAAAAAAATGGAGAAATATTAGATGCTTGACAAGTTAAAGATACCTGTTTTTCCAGATCTTGTCCAACAATGCCAGCTTCCACACAAGCTGTTAAGTTTTTCTCATCTATCCAGAGAATCCGATTCTGTTGAAAAGCCAATCAAAACTAAGAATCAGTGTTAAAAACTTTTTTTATTTCCGTCCCTAATGCTATAGGATCAACATGCTTGGTCTTACAGTTTACTATTAATACAACTCCAGTTATTACAGCAAACTGCGCCCACTCTCTCCCTCAAACTACACAACAGGTTACAATTTATGAAGTCATCACTGTAAAAGAGTAACATACTTGTTAGTCAATTTATACTAGGAATACTAACAGAAACAATGCAGAAAATCCAGAAAGAATTAAGTCATTCTTACAGAAGTTAAGTAATACAACGATTTTCACTATTGATATGATTGAAGGTCCTGAATCTGAGTATCTAGACATTAAGTATACACCAAGTATTCTTAAACATACTCCATGGGTTAAATAGACTGCATTCAGTTATTCCAGTTCAGCTCTTGATTTTGACACAGTAAGCTAGAAGCAAGATATACTACAGGATGTCAGAGTATGTACGTACTTCAGAAATTTAGGATACTCTGAAGGATTGTATCATTTTAATGAGACACTCACTGTCCCAGACGTATATTCTACTAAACAGGAAAAGTAGTAAACGCTACAACTTACATGGTGCACTAAGCATGACTGTCAGTGAGGACAATCCATGTGAAGGAGAAACTTAAATTGGTTTAGCTTTGTTTATAGTAAGGATGCCACAGAAGCTTCAGCCTCCATTCTTCATTTTCAAGTACTTCTGTACTTGAAGTAATTTTGTGTATTAATATTGTATAGAAGGAGAACAGCTCTAACTTCCCTTTGCCTTGTTTTTTCAAATGACAAATGTGGACATCTTGTAGTCCATCTTAAACTATGCTTTAAAGCAATTGTCTCCCCTCACAACATCTAGGCTAACTAATTATTCAAAGTCAGCTATTTCAGCTCCTTTCAGACACCTTCAGTTTCAACATAAAGTGCTTAACTGATCTAGGATGCTTAAATAAAGCAGTTGTTATGCAATATAGACCCTACACATCAGAAAGATACCCATTAAATGTCTGTTAGACTAGTAAAGCTTAGCCAATCATCTAAACTGCTCTGACACCCCCAGGTTTTAACTCTGACAATGCTTCTTTTCACCTTAATTTCCTTATTTTCCCTCCTCGTTAGTGATTAGAAGAACTGGCTGGCAGAAGCATTCAAGACACATAAAGTGGTCTATTTTCTGACTTCGTGCACGCTTACATGTCTAGCTGACAAAAGCGTGATAATAAGAGTTAAGCACATTCCTTTCCCACCCCCAAAGCAGACAGAAATCAAAGCTGTGGGCTATGAATCAATGAGTTCAAGTGAAGCCCTGAGTTAGTATTGTACTCTTTGGATTTCACTCTGTATAGACACCCAAGGAGCTTCCTTCAACACACGCCTACCTCTTTGCAGAAAAGATCACTCTGTAGCCAGAGATACTGAGAAACAAGTTTCAATGAAGCACCACTGACTGAGTAGAGAAAACTGAACAAAAGCCCACATCTTATCATCAAGGCTAAAGGAGTTAGTAAGGTCAGCAGGTGCTCAGAGGCAGTAGAGCCTTACATCAAACAGAGAGCTGTTTAAGCATCTCATTACCATGTAGTCATAAAACTACCATTTTAAAAGTATAAAGCTCCTTCATAATGAAAAGATGAAAACTAGCACTATGTTACAGAACTTCATTTTTAAACTGCCATAAAGCTATGAACTTCATACTCTCAAGATGCTATCTACACAAAAATCTAGGATTTTTTTCCTTTAAAGTTGATCCTTCAAGTTGATTTGTTGATACTAGGTCACCTTACCAACCTTTGCTTTAAGTATTAAGTCTGCAAAAACTAGTGAAATTTGCAACAGCAAATAACTTCCTCCTAGCCTTTCATTTAACTTTAGATACAAGTTCCAGTATAGAATAGTAGCTTCCTCTGATTTTCACCTAAAGCTGCTATAAGGCGGCTTAATGGCGATTTTTTTCTTATTAATTACATACAGGTCATATGAAGTAGTACAAAGATAACATCAGCAAAATACCACTTAAACTGAAGGAGTACCAATTTAATCATGCATGGTACAGACTAATACTTCAATCCTTACTTTATTCTCGCAAAGAAAGAAATGTCATTCTCTAGCGATCACCATTCAAAGTTACTGTAGATTAATTTTAAAAATAAAGAAAATTAAGATAGGCATACCATTTGTGATGTATCCAGTGAGACAATTGTTCTTTTTTCTTCTTCCGGACATTCAAGGGCACTAGAGACACTCGTTCCTCCTGCAAATACGGGAGTGACATTGTGATTATAAAATTCTCAGGTAGCTTTTCTTCCACATACCATCCCTCTCTTCCTCCTTTCTGATACTGAACATAAAGTAAGATCACTGAAGTTAACTGTCTGAGGCTAGTGATTAGCCTTTTAAGGCTGTCCCTTCTCCCAAACTGGCTTTCACATAAATCAAGGCAGCATTAGAGCTGACAATGCTTTAACAGCACTTGATAAAACATGAAATTCTGTGACCATCTCAGCTGCTTCTGTTAAGTCCAGAACAGCGTTTTAAAAACAAGGAAGGATAAGAAATAACGAAGCCATCCAAGAAAGAGACGGCTATGGTTTCTATATATTCTTGAGATCACCATGAAAGCCACTATACTTCTATCTAAAAAGTTGACTTAAGTGGTCTAATACAGGAATGCAATACTTATCTGAAAGCAAGAAACTGAAAGGGTATAATTATTAAGAAAAGGATAAAACCAAATGTCAAGCTTCTCCAGAGGTTTCTAATGTATCTTTATAGGATGTCACAGAACAGCCTCCAAGAAGCCTTTGGCTTCTCAAAGACTACAAAAGCCATAGGAAAAAAGAGACTAGGATGTTAAGAGATCCACAGCAAGTTAGAGAGAGAGACCAGATCAACCAAGGAGACCAATGGCAAGTAGAGACAGTGCCAACTAATAAAACACTCTTCAAGAGCAATAGAGCCTATCACCTTTGCTTCCAATGATAGGAAAGGTGGCATTTTCCCCTATAGTAATAACTCCAGAAGCTGACCGTAGTTCAGTGTAAACAGACTTGGAAAGCAATCTTAAGATCTTCCTGCATCCTGGTCAGTGAACAAGAGATAGCCAATAGTGCTGCTTTCAGCTATACCAATTTACTAGTACCAAAGGTGACTTGTAGCAGTCTTACAGCTCTCCAGACGTATCTGGCAAGGGTGAGAATGTTTTAGGGAGAAACCAGCTCCATTAGTTTGGGATTGCCTTCAACTGACATGCTCATCTTCTCAAATAAGTGTCTTTCCTACAGAGGCTATGCTCCTACAGCATAAGCAAGTACCAAGTAAAACACACATATTATCCCACAGAATTAAGAGTTCTTGACAAAAAGTTTTGTGCAGAATGAGTTCATGAAAGCCAACATCATATGTTCCCTGAGCTCCAAGTCAGAACAAGGTAGCTCACCACTCTACTTCAGCAGGCTTAGAGGAAAAAGCACCCATGATTAAAAACCTGAAATCCTTTAGAAATTCTTTAGGCTGAGAAGGACACCTATTATACAGGCCTTTTCCTGTACTCTGTACCCTGAACATTTGCTGAAAATGCCTTGCCACGACCATTTCTAACTTTCAAACTGAACAACGTCTAAAAGGAAATTAGAATTATGGTTAACAATTTTGCATTACCGTGTCTGACCACAATCCTCCCTGGACCTATAAGCTTCAACAGTACAACCAAAAAACCCCTACTTTATATACGTTTGTGGGAACACAGCACCGCGATGTGTCCAAAAACATACCTCTCTAACAGAGATATTTTAATCTCTTGATTTATTTCCTAAATGGCTTCCAAGGCACAGAGGTAGATTTCAGCTTCATATAATTACTCTTTTTGCACATTCAATATTCAAGGTGTTGACATACTTTTAATAACTTCCACTAAATTGAATATAAAAGCTTTATGATCTTGCAGTATTAAAAAAGAAATTAAGACCACACTTAAAATACTACTAAAAAATCTAACTATTAAATTATTGGCACAATATATTACTAAGATCACATTCGAATTGAATTCAGGTAGAATTCATTGCCACTAGTAACATTAAACAGATTTGAGATTTCATAACACTTACCACCAAACGGTATTATGCAGAGATTGTGTTTGCAGGCTAATTCCACAATTTTAACTACATCTTCATGGCAAACTAAAAAAGTCCAAACAGTTAAAAGAACAGGATTTATGCTTAGTACTAAATATTGCAGTCTGAATAAGCAGCAGCTCCTTTTGACACCAGCAAGGAAGACATTTCAAAGAGTTTGGCACTAAAGAGCTAGGCTCTGAAGTATTGGAATTCCAGAGTAAAGTTTAGACCTGAAACAATTCTGCATTTGAATAACTAACTACAGCCTTAGTCTGCTCTACTCATGAATTAAGACCTCCTGCAAATTCTCAAGGCAAGATGGGCTACCAAACAGGTAACAATGAATTTAGCTATCTTGGAGAACAAATCAAGTTTAAAGCTTTTACTGAAAATAGGCTGTCCAATTTATTTTGGGTGAGAAGTCTCATTTGAGGGCTGAACAACACATCTTTCTCTTCCTGGCTGACATTCAGTTTCAAAAATGGAGTTGCTGGTGAAATTTACTTTTTCAGAATGCATTCTGTATCTGCTCAAAGAGGGAAGCAGAAATGCTTGTGCACAGGCAAGGAAAAGGATCAAAAAAAGAAATCAAATATAGTGCGTACGCGAGTTTGTACAAACAGCAGAGAATGAGCAGAACTGAATAAATAGGCTTAAGAACTCTGGCTACTTCGCTGTTGGCACATAGAGCAGCTTTAAACAAAGCTAGTCAATCACATTTCAGTTGCTTTTGGAGCTGCACAAAATAAAGCTGTGGCAAGTGCTGTTCATAGTCACCACTGCTGTCATGTCAGTACCTGTCCTCAAGTAATGAGATGTATCTTATAGTTCCTCTTTATGCTTCTCATACGTGATTTTTTTTTTTTCTCCTAAATCAAGGGAGCAAAACTGAGCTAAGACTAACTTCTTATCAGGAATTTTGGGGCTTCTAATGCAGTGCAGCTACCAAAGTATCAGAAAGTTATAAAAAAGTAAAGGAAGAGTTGGATTCATAAATCTGAACTAGCAGGTACTTGGATCAAATGACTTTTTGGTTAGCTACTAAGAAGTAGCACATGGAAAGTAGTTCCTAGTGACTAGAGAAATATGACTGAAGTAGAAAATTCACACAAGTCTGCAACAAAAAGTATTTGTATTCTTCTACTGCATAGAAGCAAGCATGTTTTCTGCTACGTACTATCTACAAAAGCATTAGTTATTACTCTAAAGTGGGCCTAGCCTGCACTCAGATTGCACTGCTCCAAGTCAGCGATCCTTTGTAAAGTGTTCTGATAGGAGTTACACATATTATACCTTTTTTATTAAAGTACAGTATGTCATATCACAAAGTTCTTTAATACAAAGATTTCACTACCCTTCTACCATCATGTACTCCTTTAAAAAACAAGGTTTAGACTATCATTTACACAGCTATTCTTGGTGAACATACAAGTTCAAATCGCACTGTGGTTACTTAAGTCATTAATTGAGCTGTCAACAGAAACTTCAGCTGTATTTAATAATAAATTTGACTTCCCCATTAAGTGATGGGGTTTCACAGGCACAACCTGCAATCCAGATGTTAAACAATCATGATTACCATTAATGAGAAAATTCACTTGTCTTTACAGAAACTGAGGAAGTTGGTGAACCAAGAGACAGCTTCCCCACGACAAGAAAGCACAGGAGTTTAGTACACAATAGCCTCCCAGATCAGAAGGGAGAATAAGACAACTAAAGCTTACCAGGCCATACAACTATATCAGGAATTCGCTTAAACATTCCTTCCCTGAGTACAAATATCTCATGTAGGCAGTGACCTGAAACACAAACAGGAAGTTAACAAGTTCAAACAAGGAAGCATCAAAAGCAGCACAGTTAAATAAATGAAGTTATCTTACCATGAGCTCTGAATACCCTATCTTCTGCATCCTGTGAATATGAAATTTTAGTGGCTCTAAGATCCTGAAGAAATTCTTCATTTACAATGGATGGAGGTACATCATTAACATTTAAGGATGCCTACAATACAAGAAAATGTGTTCATTAAAGGTAGGTTCACTCTTACAGCATTTCTGTACAGCAGAAATAATAAGAACAGGTTAACACTAACTGATATCCAAACACAACTATTTAAGACCAGAAATACAGAAGTTCTCTTCCTCACATTCAGTCATTGATCCCACTTGTCCTACCTGGTACTCAGCTGACTAGATGCACACAGAAAGTTTTATTTCAGCAGCACATTCCTAGCTTTTTTCTTCTTGATCAATGTGGAGAAATGCACTGGCTTGTAAGTACATACTGAACAAAATACTTTTTTAAAGGCTTCAAGAGCCAAGAAAAACAGCTGTCTGAACAGAACTACAGATACTCCTGTTGATAAAGGGGTAGAGACTAAAGGTCAAAATTCCTTTTTGACTATAAATTCCTCCTCCAATACAGAAAAATACATACTAAAGCCACTACCCAGTCTGCAAATTCTTCTACTTACAGTTCTGTTTCTACCAACCCACTTCCTCTCCTCCCATCATGTACTGAAAGCTAAGTCTCTGTCAGACTAAAGCCTAATCAGAAGTCCAAAGCAAGGCAAAACTAAGTTTGACTCATCTAACACAACTGGCATGCTTTAAATATACCACACACATCAGAAAAACTTTATAAAATCCATGTTTGGTCAGAAACATGCAGGCGTTTCCAGAAAGCCTCTAGCTAGAAGTCCTGATCAACACCTTGGAAAAAAGTTTTTCTTTCAAAGAAGCTACACTGGACATTTTGGCTTACCAACAGGCCTTGAAGCAAGGTTCTCTTAAGTGGAGAGGGAGAACCCCTGCTTAAGGTTTTCTAACAACCCATTCTTCTAGGTCCTTATGACAGATGGCTTGTATAGCATTCTTACGGCTTCTCAAAGTGCAGAACTAGCCAGTTAATTATCTTTTCTAAAGTCCACTTTAGATATCAGACACATAAAAATGTAGTTCATGTGTCAACTTTTTAAACCCACTTAAAGAATGAGGATTCTTTACAGGATCCAGTTCCAAAAAAAAAAAAAAAATAATTTTGTAAACATTAAGTGTATTGCTTTTAAGTGCTTTGAAGGTTCAAAAAAAAAAAACCAAAACATCTTTTTCCTCCTTTAAAATTGAGCCAATAAACTCATTTATACTTTTCTATGGGTAACCTCCTTAAAGGAATAAGTCTCCTATTACAAACGGCCTCTAAGTAAGGAGCTCTTTAATCAGCTATAAAGCTTGTCTTATGACTAAAAACTAACTTCTCAACTCCAACTCCTATTTTGAAAGAAAGTATTGGTCAAAAATCTTATTTCTAGTTAGAGTCCCTGAAGTCTAAGAACAGGAGAACTGAAAATTTTTCACTACCACATCTTTTATCTTAAATACACTCTTAAAAATTAGGAGTTGCACTAAAATTAGTTAAAATATAGTGCAGTGCTTTCAAACTTCTGTCATGAAAACCTTGCTGGCAAATTAACCGCCATCATCTTCAACTCAAATAGAAGAACACGCTTGCAGTTTTGTTATAAAGCTATCAGGAAAGACTACACGCTGCCTAATGATGCCAGAAAGAGCTTGCTTACAGCCCTACCACCAGGTATTTGTACAAAGTGTTCCACATAGTCAAAGAAACTTAGACATTTCTTTGACAAGCCTAGCCTGTGTTCCTTGACAAGTACAAAAAGAAAAGAGCAAAACTGAATTCACTTTTTTTTTACATTCTGAAGTTTCAGCCTTCTACAAAAAAACGTATACTTCACCCATCCAAGTTCTCTTTCCTGGAACAGAGTTTTGCCTGTCTTTGCTCTACATAACCTCCAGAACAGCTGATTCTTCGTTTTATGTGTCTTAAGATAAAAGCTTAGAGGATAGCACCAGTTACGAAGCTAACAACAAGGAAAATAGAAATTAATAGTCTCCCATCTGCCACCATGGCAGCAGTCTATTCTAAATTGTTTGTGTCTCAAAGTCTTGAGAGCAGAAGGGAAGATTTAAACTTCAACAGGAAAGTTTTCAGGTAGTTAAGAGGTCCATGGTGATGGAACTGGCCTACCTGTGTCCACCGTATGCGAAACTATGTAGGGTTATGTAGAAATTAAGAGTACTTACAGGGATAATTCAGAAAGCAGTATGCATATGAGATACATTCATGACTGATAGCTAACAACATTTAGAGGTTCAAAAGGATAATCAAGTGTTTGTATTAGAGTTTCCATATGAGACACATCACCTAATGAAAATATAGTTTTAACAACAATTTCACTTCTGGAAGAGGATATGTGCTGTTCTGACTTGCTTTAAGGATAATATCATACTTCTTAAAATGATGTGTCGGCCACCTGAGAAGAAGGATTTTCCCTCCTTCCAATAACATATTCACTTTGTCACCTACAAACACAAAAGTTGAGATTAAGTGTTGTACAGGTGAGCAGCACACTGCTACAGAGAAATCATGATTTTAGGGGCCAGTCACAATAAGCACAGAGGAAGTCAGATCTTGGATTGTTGCTCTTAGCTCTTACTATTCTGCTATTAATGCACATTCACACGGTGCTGTTTGCTAACCCAAAAGGTAGAGCTCTGACAAACTCAGGAAAACTAATAGGTACCAAATAAAGATCTTTAAACCACTTTAAAAAAAATCCCTGCTAGCTGTGCTTACATTTTCTGTTTTAACTTTGGTTTCTTCACAGATTTCCATGGACAGAACTATTTCATATCATTTCAAGCTGAATACCAAGTGCTTGAAGATCTTTGCTCTCCATAAGAGGGACAGAAACTACTTAAAGCTACAACAATTCCTTACAGATGGTTTTAAGTATCTGGATTTTCTCTCTCCCACAAATATTTTAATCCTTTAGTTTTCAAGATTAAGAAGTTAATATTCATCTATAAAAATATTACAGACAATGCGAAACAAAAATATAGCTTTATGTATTCTTATGGGACTGATATTCTTATTGTGCACTGAAAGGCTAGACAGGAAGCCTATGTGAACTAAGTCTAAACTGCTGTCTGTGATAAGTCTAGTCTGAAAGAAGAAAAAAAGTCATCAGGCCTTAAGCATCACAGAAGAAGCAGGTACATTTACTGTTGTTAATTGTAACAGAAAAGTTGCATGCAACAGGGAATCCTCCAGTCTTATACAAGAGAGGCAGGAAGAGATGAGATACACAGACTAAAAGATCCCTCTCCTACTGCTGTTCCTATACCTGAGTTTCTTCATGCTCTGATGATAATAGAAGGTGAAAAACCAACATAGCATGACAACCTGAAATATAAACTAGGAACTACGATGGAAACATGAAAAATGGGGGACCCACCATAGTAGTTGAGAATAGCTATGTGAAGTCCAGATATATACTGGACACTGAAGAGTCCTATTCTGTGTGAAGGTAGTCGGCCTGTTTCAGACCGCAGCAAGAACATCAGAACCAGAGGAACATAACGTAACAGGAAAGCATTCAACACTGCTGGCAGATATCCTGAAGAGCTGATTTGCAAGACATGCTGTAGAATCAAGATACTATCCAAGAATCTGCCCTTGTCCTCCAACTCTACTTCATTCTATATTTCCTCTACTTGTAGAAAGGGAACAACAGCTCTCAAGACCTCTCATCACAGCAAGTTAAAGCAGCTGCCAGTTAAAACCAATCCTGGTCAAGGAAAACACATCAAGATTAATTTTTTCAAAATAATAATTCCTGCAAATTATAGCAGATGAAAGAATGTCTTAAAAGACTGAAGAAACATCCAAATTTTCAGGCCCTATGAGATTACCTGCTTCAGAGAAAATGCAATCTTGAACTCACTCAAGAAATGGGTAAAACTGTTACCCAAAGCAGGGTTGCTACAGTCACTGTACAAGCGCAGCCTGCATCCAACCCTGCTTAAGCAGCTATCTAGTCAGGAACCTGCAGCCTCAAAGGAACTCTTCTTAGAAAGGAAGTCGGGTCTCATGACTCTAACATGAGTTACTCTTTTAAAAAAAAAAACCCCACAAAAAAACCACAGAACATTCTAAATGTGTTCTTTTTCTGAAAACATTCAGTTCAATCTTGAGTATTCTGGTAGCCAGTTTTCAGCACCCAGACATGTAAAAAACATTCCTGTCAAATAAGAACTTTGATATCATTTAAATACACTGAAAACACAGCACAATATAACTTCACTGTACCTTCTGTCTTTGTTATCATGAACAACATTAAAGTTGCATAAACAATTCCCTCTAGGCTAACAGTTTCTACAGTCTTGAAAAGCAACTTACAAACAAGGACAAAAAACTCCCTTTGTTGGAAACCTCCATTCCAATAAGGGTACTACCAGTTAGCCTGGAACCACAAGTCATGTTAAGTCATTGAAGGTTTCATGTAGTAGTTCTACATCAAATACTTTTTTCAAAAACTGAGGTTTTAATACACTATATTTAAATCAATTATGTGCAACATGACCTTCAGGACAACAGCTGAATCATCTTTAACAGTGTGGTCTTGATTATCACCAAGACTAATGTTCAAAGGAACTGGTTCAGCTATTTACTTACTCTAGAGGTAGTTTTGTGCTCCAGACTTGCTCCAAAGGTTTTTTCTATCCATTCCTTAAAAGTTGGTAATACCATACCACCTAATCTGTACCTGAAAAGTCAATATTACATAGGGTCATTTTAAATTAAAAGAATGTATGTCAGATACACTTCTTTTGATTCTATGTATGCACAAACATAAGTTTTACATTAAACTCTTTACCTACAAGCCTGCAAAGCTTCTGCACATTTAGTTTTCAAGCAACTGCACATTTTATTAATGTATTAACTGTTCTATACTTGACACAAAATCAAATCAATTGTCAACACCTTAGGTATTACTTTGTTCATGATCTTTGGGAATTGTGGCATAAGGCTTTTCAGATATCCCACCCTTCTTTACTTTCAAGAAATGTCTCTCCCTTTCAGTAGCATAAAAAGCAGTGTCACAGTTTACGTGCCAGTTACAGATAGAAGACATGTATGTATAGACACACTGCCATGTAAACAGCAGTCTTGGACACTCAAACCCAGCTCAGTACACCTTACATGTTTTCAAGAAAAAGTGTTAAAGGTTCCTCCCTCATCAGAATCCATCAAGCAGTGTGAAATTATTTCTGTCACAAGCTCTTTGGCAAGAGGTTACCTATGTGATAAATGAAGATTTACAAGGGACAGAGGAGCTGTTTGTGATCATGTGTACATGTGAAAACAAATAAGGCTGGGGACAGACTTGAAAAGGTAGAAAATACTGCTATTAATTGTATACACATACACACCTTGTGCATGTTTGTGTATGCACAAGCATTCTGAGAAGAGAAAAAAGGACCTTTCTTTGGTATTAAGATCTTTCAGCAGCTGAGGACCCTTACTACAGCTGGCACCTGGGTCACTGCATTAGGCCTAATGGGTCTTCCTTCTAAGATTATTCAATCACTGTTAATCTAATTATGACCCTGTCCTTCACAGCTGTTGCAACCAACTCTACAACTAAGTCACCTATTACACAGACAGATCAGTTCCTTTTGTTTCCTCAACTCAACTACCTCCCAGTTCTCCTACTGCAAAAACCCCTACTCTATTCCTAGAGATAAAAGACTACAACCATATCTCAACTCAAGCTACACTCTTCAGCCTGGAAGACAGCATTCAGTCCTTCTTCCTGTGACAGCTGTTATTGCTTCATCATATCCATATGAAACAGTGAAGTGAATTCTATGAAGAGCAGCAATAAGCAATGAAAGTTTAATGCATTTGTGTCAGAAGTTTGCAACAAAGGTAGAGAAACTCAAGTCAGCTCGGTGTGTTCTCCTCTCCAGACATACTTTTTGGTATTGCCAACCTGTTACTACAGCTGGCTTGCAAGGGTAACCTTAAATCACTTATTCAAAGGACAAAGTAAAGCTATGAGAACAACAACAACAACAACTTTTAAGTCAAGATACAGACAGAAGTTAGGAAGTTAGTGAGTTTACTGCACAGAATGCAACACACAATTTCTCAAGAAGCAAGTTTAGTACGTATGTTGATGGTGCAAGAAGCCCCCCAAAAGACCTCGTCCCACTCCCCAAGCCCCTAAAAAATAGGTTTAGTTACTCAGGCTAGCAAGTATCATCTATCCCTCGTGAGATGGTAGAGTCTATAATAAAAAGATCATTTACTACATGGAAAAGCGTGGTCTGTTGGGAAAGTCAACAGGGCTTTCATAAAGGGAAATCTTATTTCACTAACCCTTAGAGTTCTATCAGGGTATAAAAACAGGAAGTTAGTAAAGAGCATACAATGAACATGAAATTCCACACTCTATACTTCCACAGGTGTTCACCCCAAAAGCTATTTAAGAAAATACATCGCTACAGTACTGAGGGAAAGGTTCTTCTACGGGCTGAAGAGTAAGGTAAAGTTAAGATAAGAAGCAAAGGGCAGGGATTATTGTCCAAGACACACTCAGGAGTGCAGCTTGCCACATACTGGTACCGGGACCAGTTTTACATGATGTCTTCATCAGTGATCTGATTCATCAGCAGACTCTCCAACCAGGTGAATAATATTAAGGCCTTTTGGGTAGACAGATACTACACTGATAGGAAGGAACTCAGGACCTTAAAAAATGTGAGCAGACAAATTAAGATGGAAGATGTGCACAATTGCAAGAGCAAAAAAAAAGCCATTACTTGCATATTTTCCGGAATCAGACTGGTAGTCAGTACAAGAAAAATCATGGCATCTTCACTGACAACATACAACAGCAGCCAACGGTGTTATGAGCAACAGGGCAGGTATTAAGACAGACAACAGTTCATCTCTTTTTGCTGCTCTGTAGAACCCTGGTGTATTCACCCCTCGAGTGCTGCACGCAGTTTTTGCCCGTGTCTCCAAAAAGATGGAGCTAGAGAGGGTTCAGAGAACAGTAACTGTAAAGACCAAGGGGCCTTACAAGCACAGACTAAAAGGCTCAGGACTCCTCAGCATGGAGAGAAAGAAGAGAGGATACGAATGAGTCTTTTATAAAAAAGTAGTAGATAGGCTGAAGAACTATCATTCAGCTAATTCTGCAACACAGTAAAGGATACCTGGTTTAAAACATAAGCACTTTACACAACAGCAACCTGGAATTTACTGCCACGGGATGCTGTAGAGGCAGACAGTATCAGCAGACTTGAACGCCATTAGACAAATTTATGGACAACAGATCTGTAAGTGGATGCTAAAAAGATGAGGCACCTACAACATCTTTGCAGATGCCTATTCTCCTATTTTCACTTCAAAAGCTCTTTTGCCACTGTGACAAACTATTCCATAGAAACTACACTGGTGTGGCCCAACAGGTCATTTCTAATATTATGTATCAGTTAGAGAGAATGCAGATGGGGAAAAACACCACCATTCTCCCCCGCATTCTAGAACAGCAACTCATAATCATCTATTGAACAGCAGCCTCCATGTTTCTCCTAAAAACAACACAAAAAAAAAAAAAATCAAAGTCTGGCCCTCCACCTTTTTTTCCTTCAAAGCACACTGTATAAGTTTTCTGTGCAGCATAACCTATCCCAGATAAACTAAAAATATCAGATGAAGGAATGAGTGACAAAATGATAAGAGTCAGTATCTTGGCAAGAGGTAAGAGACCACCAATATGTCGCTAAATATTATACAGTGAACTCAAGTGCTTAAGGCAAGGCTTTGCATTTTAACCTGGGCCTGAAAATTAAGAAATTAAGGATTGAAGTGTTCAACATCCCAGTTCAGTTTTTGCAGCTTTGACTGAAACTAGCTCATGCTAGTTTATGTAAACTCAGAGACCAGAAAGGAATTTTTCTGAAGGACAGTACTTATTTCAAACTTATTTCTCTTCCCCATTCTTTTTATTTACTCTTACAAAACGTATAGTATTTAAACCAGGGAAGAGACTGCAAGACTACTTTTCACTGAGGCAGAAAATAAAACAGTAAGTTGTCAAGTGACAGGCTTAAATCCCACTGGAAGAAAGTTAAGAGATCCCCAAGGAAACTTAATTTTAATGTCACTTCCTCCAAAAAAAATATTTGAGAAAAACAAGCTTGCTGTACAAAGAGCTAGCAGGTAATAAATCAGAAGTGTTGCTACTACTGAACATACAACTGAAAAGCAGTTTTTATTTTTAAGCTCAGTGGATAAAGTAGCTCCATGCATAATGGTTATGAAACCTAACACACTAATTGGAATAATAAAGCAACTTGTTGATGCCCAAGAGATTCTCAAAACTGGCAGAACTGCACTGGCTTGCTGCATGTTATCTAAAGGTTTAGAACATGGTGCAGACTCTGTTTGATTCCGTTTTCCAACGGAAGTTTAATGCACAGAGTATATCAAGTTACAGAGAAGACTCACATTAATTTGTCTTTATAATACTTTTAATAAACCTTCCAATAAGCCACACAGTCTGTTTTACTACATATTAGACTATTGGGTATACAATTCAAATGCAAAACAATTAATAACCTATTCTACAAGACAAAGCAAGTTTTTTGCCTTTGGATTAACTGAACAGTGCAGTTTGTAAAGTCTTAAAAAAAAAAATCACTAAAGATACTTCAGTTATATAAATTTTCAACTTACCTTTTCCCTGTGAATTCTGCTTGACCCTTCTTATTAAAGATGAATTTGGAGTCATTATACCCCCATCCATTCCACTTCAGAAGTTCTTGCCTTAAAAGGCAGAAAAATATGTAAGTGACAATGTTAGCATATTATAAACCCAAAATGATTTGCAGTTATATGGCTTTGGAAAAAAGTCTTATCAGATAGCAATTCAAGAAATCAAGTACATATCAAAGGTGCCTATCTTAGAGCTAAAAGTCATTCTGCAGCCACAACCATTACTCCTTCAGACTGTATCCCAAGACTTGAAAGAGAAGATGCTTTAGAAAAGCAACAACGAGCTTAAGCCAATGCACACTGTATGGTGATAGTCTCAAACTGGCAAGAACAATGTTTGAAAGATGCTTGTTTTTCAATCCATACATAAATACTAACACACAAATAGGTAACAGCTAAATATTTTCAGAATGAAAGAGACATTTAGCATTATTATTATTTTCTGTCAAGAGAATAAACTTAAGTATTAGTTGTTTGGCTTCACTACTGTAATCCTACTGCATTTTTAATAACAGTCACTTGATGAGGCACTCAGACACATCTGGATTGAAAATGTATTTTGGAAAGTAAAAAAAAAACCACAACCAAAAAAAAGAGCTACAGGAATAACATACCAAATACAACCTGAATGCAACCTTAAAGCATGCCACCATAAGAAAGGGAATACAAAAACCCTCAAACTAACAACTGCTAAAATACCTGCATAAAATTGAAATACCTTAAGCACAACCATACCAAGACAGAGGATCTAATTATTACAAATTCATCAGAAGTATAACAGTGTAAACATATTTAATACTCAGATACACAAAGAGTAATTACATACTAATCTAACTTTGCCTTAAAAGTTCGCCATTGATTTGCATTAGAAATTAAGTACTAACCCAAACCTGAATTTTAGTTAACAAAAAGGCATCTTAAGTCTGAAAACAGATTATTTACCTCGGTCCACTATACACAGGGAATGTGGCTTTTATTCTTTGACTGTATAGAGTAAGATAATGCTGAGGGTAACCATTTCAAAAAGACCTCGCAATTCAGAGAAAGCACTGCCTCAAGTCAGTTATAACTCCAGCATTACAAACAAGATAACTGGGTGATGATGGATTACCAAAGGCCTTCATTATAAAGATAATATTAACATAGGCTGCTGACATACTGTCAGTGTTGTAATTAAATAGATTTGGCTTAATCAAAATTCATTTTCAAGCTGCCTATACACAAGGTTTTAATTAATCAAATGGAAAAAACACAGGGACATGTATTTCATTACAATTGTTAGAATCTGATATTTCAACAAGCCTTCGACAAATTCAGCAAATTTAGCAAACTTTATAGACAAGTTTCAGTACTCAGTAACTGATACAGTTTTGCAAAATAGTGGGTTTGTGTTTTTCTTCCACATTAAGGCACTGATTGTAAAATTTTAGCCAAAATTAAACCGTTTGAGCAGACAACTGTCCAGATATAGAAGCCCCTCTGAGTCAATCTTTACACATGTAGTGTTCACTCAGAAAAGGGCAAGGATCCACTCATATTTGATTTTTGAATGCCTTGTGCTATGCACTGACATGACCAATTATGAAAGTGTTATGAATGCATGTTATGCAGTCTTGCCTATTTTTACATGTATTCCATATTCTACATATAAATATATACAATATTTATAAATATACATAAGAAATTCCACAAAGGCACTGTCATATACAGTTGAGCTGTTCCTAGATGAGAACAGGCTGACACACAATTGGCCAACTCAAGTGGCATTTATTTTACTTTTGTAAACTAAATGTTCCCCTCAAATCCCCATCATTGCTGTCCTCCTCAAGGTAAGATTTCTCCCTCTGCTGACTAAATGTAGTATTTCTATAAACCTGATCTCTGCAGTTTGTCAAATCCTATGAAGTCAGAACAGACTTGATATTATTAAGCAAGATTTGAGGAAGGCTCAAGTAGCTTCCCCATAATTTAGAGGGGTAAGTCCTCTTGCAAGGCAGTTCCACAGTAAGCATGCCAAGTATGATGCACGAAACAGTCTAGAGAAACTAGCTGCAAAGCTGGAGACAGACCAAGACACAAAAGAGCAGGCTCTAAAGGAACTGGTGAGATGAGATAAACTGATAAAGCACACCTTTGAAACTATCACTAGTCCTGATGGCAGTACAGAGAGACATTTGCCACAAAATCCAGGGGAGGTACTATTAACTAAGGCAATAAACAAAGACTCAGATACAAGGTCTTTCTGCTAAGCTGACTGCATTCCCAGTTGTTTGCCTTTTCTAGGTTTGTGTTAGGCCTGCTTTCCCAGGTTGTTGTTAAACTACCTGGTGTTTTCATCAGCCTTTAAAATACAGAACAGAGGTTAAGAGTTTTAACTCCTAAGAGTTTATTTTCAGGTTAAACTATTCCTGAATAAGTATGTTCTTCCCCTGGTCTGCCTCACTACTCCAGCTCCCTCAAGAAAGGGAAACACACTGTAACACATGCCTGCTCTGCATTTCCTTGTCTTTCCAGCTTACATTTGGAAATTGAAACTGTATTTGACAGCATAATAAGAAACAGAAGGCAAATGAGGAAAAAAGTCTCTTACACCACTTTCTTATCATAAATGTTGTAAGAGCATTCCTCCCTCTTCATTTTCATACTGCCCTTTTGCAGCATTATTTATACAGCCACCATTCCTTAGAAAAAGCTTTTCACACCCCAGCTCCAGTGCAGAACCCCACTGCCCTCTGTAATGCCCTGGTGTAGCAATTAGAGCTGCCTGCCAGATTAGCATCATGTTTACCTTGGCTCTCAAGAATGATCCAAGCTGTGACTGAGCAGTCAATGTACCCTTCCACATTTCCCATGGTTTTCATTCCCAAAAATTTCAGTATTAAACTCATATTCCAGAATAGTGTAAGGGGCAGAAAGAATTGCTGAGCATCCGCAGACATAAGCGCACATTAAGAGCTCCCTCCATGTATGAGGAGTCAATGTGTTCAATCTGGGCTCTGAGGCCAATGGACACAAACTACACATTGATCTGCAACTAATATGTACCACCATTATACCTACCTAGAGTTTTACAAGTTACCTATCCCCTAACACTTCAGTATTTTGTACTATCTGAAACAAAATTTACCTTGCAGTAATAGTTTCTGTCCTCATTTTTCAAAGCTTCAAGAATTTGATTGCTAAATGGGAAAACAAAAATAACCAACTGAATACCCTGTACAATACCTGAATACTTTAATATCTAAACACCTCAAGACATGTTGAAAAGTTGCATGCCCCAGCCTGAAAAAAAGATGCTCTGTTTGGCCTAGTCAACTGCTATATGTCTTGCTACACATAGAACACGTGTAGCATGAACAATTTACACACCCTTCTATTTTTCTTCTCAGACCCCTTTCCAAGAACATACATAGCAAAGGCAGACTCATCAACATATGGTATTATTCTCACTTTAAACTCAGTGTTACTCAGCTCTGCATTGTACCTGAACTCTCACGTAAAGACAGCACCTTTTTTATTCAGTATATTTGTTTCAACAAAACATGAAGCTCACTAACCCTACTTTCATCTTTGACAGAAACACGGAGTATTTTAGCCAGAAATAGTAGGAAATGAGCAATTATTTCTTGTCTTCTACCTTAAGAGCCAGAAATTCACTACTGAAATGTAGGAAGTACTATAAAGCAAAGCTCGTTTAACATTTTAATATATATTTTATACACACACACAAAGTGATATTGCCTTAAGGGAAAAAACTGAAAGACGTTACCATGGTAACAGTGACAATAGAAGCTGAAAACAGTGTGACTAGGTTAAGTGAATTTAAATATTGCACTTTCATTACAATGCCCAACACTGAAATACTAGTTTGACTCAATGTAATAAGGATTTTTACAGTAAAATATTTGTTCCAGTCAATTGTTTTCTGCATTTTTCTGGAGAACTAGATATGAAATAATCAAGGAGACACTGGGCAGGACACTGTTCAGATCACAGCACAAGGCACTATATTAAGCTCCCAAATGACCATTAAGGTTCCTACAAATTGGGCAGAAACTCACAAGATGGCAGCATGACCAGCCCAGGGGGGCAGGAGGGTGGTCCCCCACCCACCAGCTGAACTAGTGCTCCCAAGGCATCCAGCCACTCAGCTGGGCTGGCAGAGGCCTCCGGACCTACATTATTTCAACACAACTGCACCTGCCAGCACTTTCCAAATCTCATGTTTTAGTGAGAGGCAGGGCGACTTGCTGAAAAAGTCCTTGTCTCTCCCTAGGAAACTGAAGAACAAGCACAGGGTCTCCCACAGGTATCCAAGCTCAGCAACTGAAGTTCAACTCATGTGGAAATCACACTATGGGTATATTTTTTGGTAGTTTCAAATTCACATCATAAGTGCGTATCACACATCTGCATACACAACACATATAACTGCCAGTTGAGAAGTGTTTCACACAGCAAAAGAAAAGTATCACGGACAGGTAGAGAGCCTTCTGTTTTCCAAGGTCTAAAGCACATTAATATTATAATACCAGAAGTAAACACAAAGGTTTTTTTCCACTTATGATGAAGTTACGAGATTATGTTCAATGAAATATCAGAACCAAGATAAAATAATGGAGTTGCCTCATTACGCGACATACCACCTAAGCACATAAATATCAGCAAAACTTTCTCTTTCTCCAAAATAATCTGAAGATCTGGTACGCTATACACAAAACTTAGACAAGTAGGCTAATTTATTCAAAGGACAAATGACAGTTTCATGTATTTTCTTCAGAGAAGCAGGATGAAATTGCAATTCAACCACCTGAACCAATGTGACTCAGGTGCAGCAAAGCCAATGCTCACATCAATTTCCTCACAATAACCACCAGTATTTTCAATTTCATCACCAGCTGACGGTCAGCATTAAAACAATGTGTACATAAAACTCAGACACGCTTGTTCCACGATCCAAGAACCTGCACATTCTTGGATATTGAAGTGGCAGTTTTAAGGGCTACCTCATGGGCTACAGCACTAGTATTTGCCTAACGTTACAATGAAAAAAAAGTCTTGCAGGTTGTAGAGCTCTTGCAAAACTCAGCACATGGGTGCAAGTAAGACTGAGGCAGTATTATGGTGCTAAGGAGTTACAAGAAGACATCACCAAAAAAGTAACTCCTCAAAGCCCTCATCAGCAGGATTTTTGGTTACCAACTCAGACCCCCAGCTGGAAATTCAGAACTCCTTTCACAGGTGATACTGGAAGGTCACCCTTCCTCTCCTCTGGAGCAGTCTCTGTGTTTGGGTTACACAGTCACACTTCTTAACCAAGTAAGCCAGCTACTCCAGAGTGTTTTTGAAGCCAATAGTAAATTACTATTTTACTTTATTTATTTACTGGAAATTAGGAAAGGGAATGTAGCCCAAGGAAACCCTTCAAGAACTACTTTGCGAAAGCATCATTTATCTGGAGAAGAATGCCACGCTGCAGGCCAGGAGTATCTGCCATGTTTGTCATTCTTCTATTTCTTCCCTCTTGGAAGATCTTCCCTGCAGCAAACCAAACATAATCACTCTCAAGTCTTAAGTCAAATAACATCTTTCTTATAACCTTAGACACATTCAGTTCTGTAGCCCACACTTTCAGCTAAACACATGCAGCTGCACATACACCTGATTCGGTTGCTATTCTGTTTGCAGAACATCTGATATGGCAACACAAACCTGGGTTCGTATTTACAGTTTACATCCACAGTAAGCAGCTAATGCAGACACGAGATTTATGCATAAAATAAGACCTCAAGGGTTTAGCTACTCCAAAGCACACTGTGCCTTTTAACATTTGCTTTATCAGAACAGTATTTTTTTAAAAAAACCTCTCCTTACACATATTCTTAGCCTTAACTATTTCACTACTCTTCATTTCACCACATGGTAATAAATAAAGCCCCAAGGAATAAGGAAATTGATGTTTTTCTCCAGTGTTCTTTCACAGAAAGCTGAAGTCAATTAGGGCAAATTAAAAACTCAGGAAAGCCAAGACATTATACCTGTGCTTCTCAGGATACACTTAGCCCAATGATGATTCTTATACAACAGAATACTTTACTAGAAGCTCTCTTTCCCACCTACTATTTCAGTTGACATCAGTTTCATTTTTATCTTTGAAGAGACTTCTCTACTACAAAAAAAAAATGTATGCACATGGCTACTTCCAGGCAGTAAATGAACAAGCACTTAAAAGATTTTTTTCAAACACTAGAGCTCAGTCCTTTGAGAAGTATTTTTTGAAAGCTTGCAAAACCAGGAAATCTGCTTCGCTACCTTAAAAAAAGAGTTAATGAAAGTTTATTTGAGCAAGCAAAATAAGCTCAGTTCCTGGACAACACTCTTTTACATATTGTATGAAGAATTTTTAGCATGCTCTGTAGCAAATACACCAGATAACTGCTGAAAAACACTTTCTGGCCTATACCATCAACCCTGAAGACTTGCACACAACTGCCCAATTTTGGATATAACACTACAGAGGCATTATGCTTGTCCATCACATCCAGCCTACAATTGATTTTTAATACTTCACATTATTTGTTCTCTACTAAGAGGTACAATAACATTTCAGGAAAGTCTGGTTGGCTGCAACCTGTTACGCTACAGATGTCCTTACTTTACTCCAGCTCAAAGTAGCTTCTAGGAAGTGCAAGTAAGTATTCTAGTCTATTGCATTAACACATCATTCTATTCAATTTAAATAAACAAATCAAGTTTAAATAAATAGCTGTATATACACATTTGCTTTTTGTACATAACAGTTCAGATCTCAGTAGGTATCATGAAGTCAATCTACAAAGTTCTTTCAGGTTTTGCTGTAAACTACAACTTGCTTTCATATAATAATCAATATTGTACTGTACATATTAAACATACTTTACACTTCTATCTTGTATCTAGGTTTTTTCTAATAAAATTTAACCAATGAATATATCCAGTTTGGTTTACTTGGTACCAAACAATCTAACAATACATGTTATATTACTTACGTATTTCTTGACATGTCATCTGCCTGACATTCAACTACTTGAAGCTAGATGATGGACAGCAATTGCTGTTGCATATGAAGTCATATTTGCATTCAGATTATGACCTTTTCTTTTATCGGGCTAATGTTTCCATATGAGAATCTCCTTTCTTTATCTGTTCCTCTACTTCAAGCATTAATCATGACAGGCAATTAACTGCTTTGATGCAATCAGAGCCTCCCGTGAACTGCCACACTTTCCCCAATGCAACAGGCTCTTAGTCCTCTGATTCGTTAGACTCTCTAGTGGCACCAGACATTTCCTTCTTTGCCGTAAGTTTCCACCACCTTAAGCTCAGCTATACCAGGATTCAGTTTAGTGTCAAGTGTTGCTTAAACACTGTTGTCTAAAGTGTTTATTATAAAGATTTCTGAGTACTGGTGGTAAGATATGAAACTTCTTTGATGTTACTTGTTAAATTCAAGTAGTATCATCAACTCTTTAGGAGTTAATTCATGTTACTGCTTAATATAGTCATAATCATTACCAGCAACTAGAGCAAGAATTGCAAGAGTCTGTAGAAAGGTATGGCAATATTAACACATTACCCCAAGCAGCCTGGGTGTGAACTTGATAAAGAGCAGGCAGCTGGCTATACACTCATCCCTTGGTTTACCCTGGATAACAGTATGCCCATAATAATTAAGAGACTCACAAGCCTCTCCTCATCCCACAGGAAAGAAGCTTCTCCACAAAGAGATTGGAAAATCAGGAAATCCTGCCCTGCTTTCTCTTGCTCCAGGACGGAAAAAATTTAAGCCTACGAGCTACTGTGTCAACATTTAGTTACACTCAATTGATACTCCCTCCCCAATGGCCAAATTGTATAAAGTTTGATTTGAATAAGTTATAATACAAGCTATTATGGCAAGATTAACATCAGTGCATGCTCCACCTCTGAGGCACTCTTACACTCTAGCATACATAACAGTTACTCTAGCACAACTGTTCTCTAAAGAACTGCAGCACCTTACTGTTTTCAAAGCAGTACAGGTTGAACACATCATGTACTTAATCTCCAAAATAACTGTGTTTAAGCTTTTAATTCACTCAAAGTGACCTTACTAATAATCAGACAACAAAGGTCAAGAGCATTACATCAAAGTTCAGAATAAGTAATTTCAAGGAAGAGTTTGTTTCCAACTCTATTTTTTTAGTAAAGATTTTCAGCATGCCTATCATCCTGTTAAGGCTTCAACACACATTCTATAACTATGATCCCGATCTTCCACTTCCAACACTG